TAAATTTAATGGTTGTGACATAAACTGTACTTTAAATTGTGTAAATACAAAGAGTAGTTAAAAGACGTTTTTTCCCACAAAATGTAAGTTAAGATGTCAAGCTGTATGATTATATACAGTAGAATCCAAAAACCTTAAACTCTGAAGGGGTATATATTCATTTTCCGACTTGGCTAAAGTCCAAATTAAGCAAAGCTCTTGTTATGACAGACTTTTTAAAAATATCAGACTTATAATGATTTCTAGAATTACTGACACAGAATGACACAATGTACACAAACATGCATGTTTTACTTTTTTCTTAATTGATGTAGCTGCACTCCTTGCAATGTGTTGAATCTTTAAAAGCCACAAAATGCTTGATATAAATCCTTATTTAGGGAGACTTATATCCTCATTTTATTCGCATTATTTTTTTTAGTTTTTTTTAGACGATATATTGTGTATTTTTTTTGACCTTCAAGACAATGTTTGCTTTGGAATGCTATATATATATATATATATATATATATATATATATATATATATATATATATATATATATATATATATATATATATATATATATATATATATATATATATATATATATATATATCAACTCGTTTCTCCGCGCAGCGGCCTTGTTCGTCAAGGTTCGTGTTTCGGAGTTATAGAGTTGAGAGAGGGTTATAGCCACAAATAAGTAGCCTCCTCATCTGTAGTGGCCTTCTCGGCCTTGAGAAGGTGAATCAAAATAAAAAAAATAAAAAAATAAAATATATATATATATGCATGTATGTATGTATGTAAGTATGTATGTATGTATGTATGTATGTATGTATGTACAGGCCCGGCGGAAGGCAGTTACAACGGGTGATTTTCACCCAGGCAACTAAGACGCCAAATTTATGTTAAATTTTTTTTTTTGAGAGAGAGAGAGTTTATAATAAAATATATAAATTTATAGGAATAATTATATAAAAGTTTGTATACTTATTTATATAAAAATTAGTCTATAATATTTTATATAAAAACCATAATTACTCAAAAAAAAATTATTATTTTCCTTTAATTTATTTATTGTACAATTTTAAAAATGTTTCAGCCAATTAAAAAAAAATCATGTTTGAATTTTTCCGCTAACCAATCATTGACATAGTAAAGTTGTTTTTACTTGCGGCGCAAAAACAAACCAATTCAAAAAAAGAAAAGAATCATTGGATTGAAATTAATTTCTAAAGAAAAGTAAGCATTTCTTTAAAAAATCGTTTGCGTTTTAAATTAAAAAAGCGTTTGCGTTTTAAATTAATTTAGAAATTAAAACTTTAAAAGTAGTTTTTCTTTTAGCATTAAAATTAAATATTTTTTTATTCTAAAGTGTTTTAGCGCTCTTATTTGAGAGTTTCAATAATTTTTTTATTATGATATAAAGTTATCTAACTATTGCTATAAAATTATATATAATATTTATTGGTTTCTTTCAAAGAGAATAATGGAGAAAAGAAAACATTCAGGTTGAAAATTTAAACAAAAACGCCTATAAAAGGAGGAAATCAAATCAAACATCTTTAGAAAATTTTTTATTAAAAACTCATCATGATATATTACAGCTATATTACGAATTAATGAAAGTCCATTAATTCGTAATATAGCTGATTCTGGAAATGAAAGCAAATCAACTGAATCTACTAATTCAGTTGAAACTATTCAAACAATTGAAAGATTAAATGAAACTGCGGCTACTTCAGAATACTTTGACGAATAAGAGATTGGCAGGAAAATTTAAACATTGATTTCATACAAGATGCTGTTATAAAAGGTCCTAACAGTTTCAAAGAAGGTTCTAATAACTACCCAAGAAATGTTGATAATTTGAGTTTTTCAAATCATTATTTTTACCGCATCATGGATAATGGTGAAAAAAATCATAGAACGCCATATTTCACAAATCTTAAAAAGACACGAAAAAAGTCTTAATCATTTTAACTGCTACAGCAAGTGGGTGGATCTAAAAAACAGATTACAAAAAGGCACTTTAATTGATAAAATTTTGGATAAAAACTTAATTAAAAAAGTAGAACATTGGGACAACGTAATGAGAAGATTAATTTCTCTATTATGATGGCAAAGCAAAATATGCCTCTCAGAGGCTCTTGTGACAAAGTCTATCATGATAATAGTGGAAACTTTTAAAAAATTTTAGAATTTTTGGCTGAATTTGATCCAGTTATGGATCAAATTTGTGCACTATTTTGCCAAATAGTGCACAAATTATGTGCACTATTAAGCAAAAGATATTCAGGATGAAATCATTGCCTTGATTGGCAAATCCATTAAATTTAAAATTTGCTTAAATGTCCAAAAGTCCGTGTATTTTTTAGGTATTGTTGATTGTACACCAGATATCAGTCACTAGGAGCAAATGTCAATGCTGGTACAATATGTTGATGAACGAAATTCACATTAATGAAAGTTTTATTGGATTTCATTTAAATAAGATTATTGACTCTGGTAAAAAGTAACTTGTCGGTGGAAAACATAAGAGTTCAGAGCTATGACAATATGAAAGGCGTAAGAAATGGTGTACAGGCTTTTATTCTAAAAAAAAACAACCAAGCGGTTTATATTCCATGCTGCAGTCACACATTGAATCTGGCAGTTGTTGACTCTGTGAGATATACACCTAAAATTGCTATGTTTTTCAATATAATTGATCAAGTTTACAATTTTTTTTCTACTTTAACAAAAAGATGGTTAATTTTGCAATCAAAATGTCCATCTTTAACAGTTAAACCGTTAAGTGATACAAGATGGGAAGGCCACATCAATGCTGTAAAAACACTTCGATTTGAAATGCCAAAAGTTTATGAAGCACTGCAAGATGCGGCTAAGATCGCTTATGAAACAATTGCAAAAATCACAGCAGAGTCTATTGCTTTAAAAATAACAAGCTTCGATTTTTTGTGTTCAATCGTAATTTGGCATAAAGTTTTATTCGAAATTAATTTGACTAGCAAATAACTTCAAGCAGCTTCAACGAATATTTCAGAGGCTTTAAAAGCAATGGAAAGAACGATTAATTTTTTAAAGCAAAATTACAAATAGGAAAAATTTGACTCTGTTGTGTGTATTGCACAAGAACTTGCTTTTTTTTTAAAGGTAGAATAAAAGTTTTGCAGCAGAATCTGCTTCAAGAGCAAGAAAAAGAAAGAGATTCTTTGATGAACCTGAACAAAACTTTGAAAAACAGTCATGTCCAAAAGAAAAGTATAAACAAGATGTTTTTAATAAAATATTTGAATGTGCTACTATTGCAATAGAAGAGAGATTTAATGATTTTAATGCTGGCATTGCACCTTTTAGCTTTTTATTTGATATTAAAAAGCTCTCAACAGTCAAGGAAGAAAAAAATCTGAAAATGGAAAAAAATATATTTCTGGCGAGGAACTAAGTTTTGAATTAATATCTCTTTCTTCTCATTTTACTGAAAACTTAGATCGTCGGGCCTGTGTATATATATATATATATATATATATACATAAATATATATATATCAAGGCTAGAATTAAGTGATCACAAATTGCGATAACTGGAAATTTTGGTCATCTTAAATGAATTCTCAGTTTATTAAAAATTGTGAACACTGTAATTGACTGTTTTAATGAAACAGTCAATTAATATAAAAATGTGAGCAGTTTTCTTAGCATTTAAAAATCAACATATAAGAAGTTATAATAAAGCTATTTATGCATTGTAAACTTTAACATTGAATGAAACATTAAAATTGATTTTTGTTTAAACGGAAACTTTAAGCAATTGTTTATTTAAAAATTTAAATGTTTTAAATTAGAAATTAATTAATTGATCATTATTGATATATTTTAAAATAAGTCATGAGTTTTTTTGTTTTGTTTTAAAATAATTATAAAAAGTTTTTATATATTTTTAATCTCCTCTGTCTTTAATTTTGTATCTGATAAAGAGTTAATAGCATTTAATTTATAAGGAAATAATGAATATGATTTAAATAATAAATAAGATTTAAATAAGATATAAAAGTATTTATATAATATTTTGCTATTTTTTTTATTTAAAATATTTGATTGCCAGTAAATTCTTTTAGATTAGTTTTTAATATTGTATTGTACTGCACAATTTATTTTACTAGTTTTATCTGATTATTAATGAAATGAATTAAAATATTGAAGTTTGAATCTTAATTTTTAATAATAATAAAAGTATTAATTATAAAAATAATTTAATACTGTTAGTTTGATATGGTTTTATAATTAGATTTTATGTCATAATTCAAGATCATTATAAATATTATATATTAAAACAGCTATTGAGTTTAGTGATAAAAACAGTGTTAACAGTTTTGAAAAGCTTAAAATTTAAAGACCATAAGCATTTCCAGATATTACAATTTGCAAATAACTTAATTTTTATCCTTTATATATATCTATATTAATAATTAGCCTATATATATATATATATATATATATATATATATATATATATATATATATATATATATATATATATATATATATATATATATATATATATATATATATATATATGTATATATATATATATATATATATATATATATATATATATATATATATATATATATATATATATATATATATATTAATAAATAAACTTTATATATTTATAGGTTTTTAATAAATATTTTATATATTTTTCAAGCAATATTTAACCGAATGCATGTAGACAATTTATTCATTAACAAATATTAAATTTACAATTTTTACAATTTTAATCTTTATACTATTTATAATTTACTTGACTGGATTATCAAATACTTATCTTACCTTTCAATATATGAGCTAACTAATATATTTTATATATGCAATTACTAATAATTTTTTTTTCTCTAATTATTAAGAAATCTTTTTCTTTAGTTATTGGAATAACTAGATTGAAAACTATTTGTATTGGTTTTATAGAAATTTTAAAAAAACTAATTTTAACTTGTGTCTTTTGTTTAGCATCTTTGCATCCCCAACTTGTTCAACCAATTGTTAAGTTTCATGAAAAGCCAGCTCCAGTTCTTCGCCCTAGTACATGTCAAGCACGAAAAATATACAATAATGCAACTCTTATTGGTGGCATGCGCGCTGGAAATTACACATCACTTGGAAAAGCTACTCATTTACAAGATTGTATAGGACGTGCATGTGACTTAAATGAAGGTCACCTTGCTATTATGCTTGGACAGTATTGTTACTCTGTCACATGTAAAAATCAACGAATTTGTCAAACAGTGCCTGCCATACCTTCACATTTGAAACCAAAAGTAGCATACTTGGCATGGACTCAAGAACCTATCGAACAAGATACGAGTTAGTATTTGTTCTTTTTTTAATAATCAATCTATTTTTTGATAACATTTTTTTTAAACATTTTTTGAAATTTGAAAATTGAAAGTGTCAGTACTGAAGTTTAGATTTTAAGAGTTTTGTTTTTCTAGTAACAAATATGGCTGAGAGTGATTTTTTTGTGAATCACAAGCGTTATCCTAAATGTAAGCGTAGCCATATAATGTACAATCATACATTGAAAGGTGGCTTGCGTGCAGGAAATTTTTCAATGTTGGCATCAGTTGATGATATTGAAGTTTGTGCTGCCTTGTGTTGCGAAGAAAAGGACTGCGATCTTGGTAAGATATAAGGCAATTACAATTGTTTCTTTACTGTCAACTTTCTGGTCTGTGAATGTAAAAGGTTAACAATAGTCTGCCAAAGTATGTAAAAGTAGTAGAAAGTTGATATTTGATGTATTAATAAATTTTCAGCTCTAATGATTGGAGATAATTGTTATGCTGGTGATTGTGCTAGCCCAGAGCTTTGCTCTGCTGTACCAGTACCTGCTGGCGCAGCTCAGCGATCTCAAATAGCATATATAACAGCACCTGGTAGAAAAAAGTCTGAGGACAGATGGGAAAATTCAGGTTTTGAATTTTTCATTCATTTTTTAAATTTTAAGATTTAAATTTAAACTAAATTTGAAGTTTATATTTTTAAAGTTTTTATTTTTTTGTTTGCTGATAATATATTAAGTTTGGGTTTTTTATTTTATTCATCTTAGATTGGAGCATGGTGTATTTGATTGTGAGTGGGTTAGTTATTGGAATTAGTTTACTTGGAACAGCATGGACTGTTTGCTTGTGTGCCTTGAGGTACTTCTATATTTTTGTTGTTCAGTGCTTTACATTCTATTATTAATGACATAATCTATCATTTATTAATGTTAATATTAATTAATGTGTTAATGTCGTCTTGGTGTGTGTTAATGTTGTGTTGGTGTGTGTTTATGTCGTGTTGGTGTGTGTGTCACAGGGTTTTTCTTGGTGTGTGTTAATGTTGTGTTGGTGTGTGTTAATGTTGTGTTGGTGTGTGTTTATGTCGTGTTGGTGTGTGTGTCACAGGGTTTTTCAATTAAATCTGAAGTGTTATCTTAATAAAGTTAAAGTTATTTCCCTTATTTCTGATCCTATTTAGGATTTTCTAGGAAAATATAAGTTGTTTTACTTTATATAATAATACTTTTAATTAATAATTATTTATATATATTTTATGTAAAGTGTTTTGTAACTCATCATAAATTAGTGGCAAAAGTGAGAGATTTGATTTTGAAAATTTCATCAACAGTTTTTAAATGTTTTTGAATCATTTCATTGAATTTTTAAATTTTGTAGTGATGTAGTTTTGAAAATGGTAGATAGTATACTGTTTAACTTGTTTCTCAGTTTATCAATGTTGTTTCTCAAAGTTAATGATTTCGAGCTATAGAGTGAGAGGGGTTGGTAACAATTAAAACATAGAAATAATAAGTCTCCTTGACTTTAGAAGGAAATTTATCAGTACTTGAGTAAGAAAATTATCCTGACTTGAGTAAGAAAATTATCAAGCTTCTTGGCTTTAGTGGAAAAATTATCAGGCTCTCTAACTTTAGTGGAAAAATTATCAGGCTCTTTAACTTTAGTGAGAAAAATTATTAGTTCCTTCAGCTTTGCGGAGGTAAATGCAGTTAAACAATAGTTTCTTCAGCTTTGGGGAGGTGCAGTTAAACAATAGTTTCTTCAGCTTTGGGGAGATAAATGCAGTTAAACAATAGTTTCTTCAGCTTTGGGGAGTTAAATGCAGTTAAAAAGTTTCTAAAATCAAAACTTTAAGGTAACAAGAAGAGCGAATTTTTAAGTATAAATATTTTTTGAAAAAAATTTATATTTACAAATTTGAGGAATCTAAAACAGTATTTTTAGATTCTATAACATATATATTTTTAATTGCATTACTTGCCAAACGGGTTTGATTTTTTTTGTTGTTGTTGTTTTCTTTTTTTTTTGTTATTTCATGTTCTTTAATAAAATAAAATGATATAAATTAGAATTTTTGTATAATTATGTCGTTTATTAGGACTTTTTAAGAAAAGTTTGTAATTTTTTTTTTTTGTAAAATTATTACTTAAAATAGCTCAATAAGTTTTTGAAAATTTAACTGCGTTGCTAGTGACAGTTGTAAGAATGGTAACATTAACAAATGATAGTTTTAAGAATATGGACAGGTTTATGCAAGTTTAATGTACATTACTACCGAAGTTTTTATGGTTTTAATTTGTTTTATTTTTGAAATGAGTTTCAAAGTTTTGATCTTTCAATGATCTAAGAGTTTCAATGAACTGAAGGTTTAATGAATTCATGGTTTCAATGAACTGAGGGTTTAATGAATTCTTGGTTTCAATCAACTGAGGGTTTAATGAGCTGATTGTTTTAATGAACTGAGGGTTTAATAAAATGATTGTTTTAATGAATTGATGTTTTTAATGAACTGATGGTTATACTTAGAGGTGTAACAGAGGAGTATCGAATGTGTAGCGGGGGTTTATTGGAGCCGGAGATTTAAACTAAGACTATCAATTCACAGTTTATAAACAACTTTTATTAAATGTTTTAGTTTAAGTTTTTAATATCAAAACAATGTTGTCTTGAATCAAAATTCTCAAGCTCAATAGAATGCGCAGAGTTTTTAAATTTGATCTTTGTTATAACTTCCGAATTATCAGAATTTGAGCAAATCAATCGAAACCAATCCAATCTATAGAAGCTGGAGTCATAATTCCGTGACATATTTTTTATATAAGTATTTTGCTATATAATAATTCGGTTCCAATAAAGTATATTTGAAACTTTCTTCCGATACACCTCCGTTACACCCCTAGTTTTAATGTACAGAAGTGCACTATTTTTTCCGTATCGCATTGTCAATTACATCATCGATTACCTTTTATTTAGACATGTAAATTGTCATTATAAAATATCTTTTATATTGCTTGCCGAATCTTGACAACACAGGACAAATCATTGTTTGTAAAAGGATTTGTCTTGTGTTGTCAAGATTCGGTAAGCTTGGTATATGCAGAAGCTGCAAAGCAAGTTTTGTACAAAAATCAGGTGTCCAATTGGTCACAAATATTAGTTGTCCGATTGGTCAGATAAATATAAGTTAAGAACATGTTTTCTGTAAAATGATTATTCAGCAAATTCAATGAAGATTTTAATTGAGTCCTGTTTTGTTGTTATTACTTTTTATAATATAGTTATTTTTTTATTTGTTATATAAAATTAAAAATAGTTTTTAAAGATTAACCTATTATTCACAAAATATTAAAGGAGAAATCAGAGAAAGTTGCTAAAACGCAAGAAAGAAAATCTTTCAAAACTTGTTCGTGTTGAACGTTCGACGTCCATGAAAGGTGTGAATCTTTTTTCTACACCTTTGATTCTTTTTATTTTTGCTGCAAACTTTTGAAATAACATACTATAACAATACTAACACTATAACTTTTAAATTGGTTGTTTTTGACCTTTACAATTTTTTATTATAAAATATTTGGTACTTATAGATCTTCCATTAAACGAAGACTTGATGCTCAAAGATGAACCAATCGGAACTTCGTCAAGGAATAGTTTTAACTAAAGATTTCAACTCATCATCTGAACTTTTTTCTTTACTTTGAAATAATTTTATCTTTATTTTTATAATTACTTGCAGTTTTCTTTTTTAGCATTTATTGCCTTTAATTATTCTGCGTTTTATTCATTTAAATTATTCTGCATTTAATTTTTTCTAATTATTCTGCATTCTAATGTTTTATATCTTTTATTCTTTTTTAATTTTTACTCAAAATAAGAGGACACACGAATTTACACGATAACTTCTTACTTGATCGTTTACACGTTTACACGATAACTTCTTACTTGATCGTTTATTTCTACGAATTGTTTTACGTGTTTTGTATAAAATTATGACTTGCAAATGCGAAAAGTGGTGGATTGGACAAATCAATCCATATATGATTATAAAAGCATCCTCCAATCAGGTATGATAATTAAGATTCTAACACCAATCAGGTATGATGGTTATAAGGGCTACTCGTTAATAAACCCGTTAAAAAGAGTACAGCATACCATTTGGTTTTGTTCGATATATTTTTGTTAATGAGTTTCGTGCCAAACAATTTTTTCGAAAATGTAAATAGTTATTGTTTATATGGATATAGTAATAGAATTTTGTAATAAAAACATAAATTTATAGTCATTTTCTTATTCTTTTTCTTTTCTTTTTGTTTTGTTGATGTCTGTCAACGATCTGAAGAACAATTTATTGACCAATCAGATTGAAGATGAGAATGAATTTATATAATCCTTTGGTATTGAAAAAGGGGCGTCAAAAAAAATTTTGTTTATTTGTTGTTGTTTTTTTTCAATACTTTTTTGTTATATGTCACAATTTTATAATATAAGTATAAAATATGCTTGTATTAAATTGCTAGAACTTGTTAAATTTTAGCGGAATTTCTTTTTTTATTATTTCCCATAGCTTTATTTTATTATCTTTCAGTTCGACTAATAATTTTTTTGTTTAAGTTGAACGGTTTCCGAACAAGTTGCGTTTATATTGAAGAACATTTGACTATATTTATTTTATTAAACTTTGATTAAATAACAACACCATTTTTAAAATTACTAGCTTTATTTATCTACTGCAATGCGTTCAATGTTAAAATTATGTGAGGAATATGCAAAAGAGCGCACTAATGACTTACAATGCGCATTAAAGTAAATGCATTTTTTTGCATTGTGTGATAACCTTGAAGCAACATTCAAGGTTATCACACAATTGTCCGTTCTAATTTCAATCAATTTATTTAAATACGCCCAGAGCTGACGCAGTTGGGTAATATAATTAACAAATCAGAGGATGGTCACAATTGCATTTCTCAACTCAATTTATTGGTCAAGTTAATAACGTTCTTGATTCATTTTTTAAGTTTCACCCAATTTCTAAAAATCATCTTAAATTTATGTTCCAATATTTTTGAGTCTATCACTTGGAACTTGTTACACTCAGAGACAAACCGCATCAGCACATCTCAAAAGAACGGTCTAAGGAGAGTATATCATTTACCTTCAGTTCTCCTTGTATTATCTCAGTTTTAGGTTCCAACATTAGGCCATTAAAAACTATAAACGCGGTTTTTTTGAAAATCGTTGCACATTGAACCCAGAACGTGAAAAAATTCATTTTTTTGACTATAATTTATAATTTAAAATAGTAAATTTATATTGTGTAAGACAAGTGAAGGTCAGAGCTAAAAAAAATTTGAAAACCATCAAACCATTTCGTTTTTATAGCTGTTTGAAGTTGAAGAAAAAAGTGAAGCAAAATATTTATCCTCAAATTGCACCAATACTGTTTTTTTTTTTTTTTTAATGTGTAAAAATATTACCGTCTGGTCAACAAGACAAGTATGGTTAATGGCAAAGTTAGCCATCAGCCATACTTATAGATTTATTGCTAAGTGACTTCGGAACTTTTTGCCACCACTGCAATTGTTCCAAAGGTGATGTCATCGACCTAGTATGTATACTATATGGTTTCACTATAGATAGAAACTAATTAGGAACAAGTTGTAAAGCAAAACGGATATCATAGCAAATATATACAAATGACATTTACTTAAAATAAGAACACATCAAATAAAAATACAAAAGCCATCTAAATAAGACTTGCTGTGTAAAATATGCGGAAAACTTAGTCAGACCACAAGACTAAACTAGATGTGAATAAAATTCTTACACTGTAAAACGAATTGGATTTTTAGTTATTTTTTGAAACTACTACTTGGTTTTTCAAAAATCGGTAACACGATTTTGGTTTTTTAAAAATCTAATTGGTTTTATACTTAACGTTTTGAGTAATACGGTTTTTTAAAAAACTAAACTATACTTAGGCCGTGCGCTTTTTAGTAAATTAGAGTTTTGCAAAAATGGCTGGATTCATAATTAACATTTTGCAAGTATAAAGTATATTCTTAAACTCTAAATATTGCCTTAAAAAAAAAATACTTATACAATTATTTTTATTATTAAAAAAACCTTTGAAATTTTTAAAAACTGAAAAAACAACCTGAAACTTAGTCAACTCTGGATGTCACGTTATGGTTAAAAAATTGCGGCTTAGAAACATGCATTAACAAATTTGCATGTAGTTTTATAAAATTTCGCATTTAGCTAGTAATTTAGTTGATGCTGTTAAATAGCTATTTAACAATATCAACAACATTATCAACAACAGCATCAACAACAGTATCAACAACAGTATCAACAACATTGTCAACAACAGTAACAACTACAGTATCAACAACATTATCAACAACAGTATCAACTACAGTATCAACAACAGTAACAACTACAGTATCAACAACAGTAACAACAACAGTATCAACAACAGTAACAACAACAGTAACAACAACAGTACCAACAACATTATCAAGTATTTTAAAGCTGTATAGGCATTATAGTAATTACCACATGTTAATCTGAAAAACTGCTGTTATTCAACATGTAATAAAAGTTTTAAAAAGCTACATAGTTTTCAACAGCATATAAGGAGAGCATATAAGGAGAGCACATCCAACTGATAACGACGCAGCACATCAGTTATAATGGAAGATTCTGATTTGTTATCAGAAAATTCAATTCAAGATACAGATTTTCCAGGTCTATTTCTACAAACAATATCTCATTTGAAAAATTCCTTAGGCCTAATGTTTCTAAAATTAAGAGAAAAACATGTAGCTGCAAGCCAAGTTCATGTTGATTTGAAATCTTTACTGTATTTTTTTTTTTTTTTTTTTTTTTTTTTTTTGTCATATAACAATTTAAAAAAACAATTTATTCAACAAAATGCTACTGTTAATTTAGTCCATATGTTAGATAATGATCTCTATGATATATTTTCTTCTTTTATTCATGAATATCAATTGATTAATTTTTGCAAGTCTAATTTACAAATGGTGGAGCCACAAGAAAAACTGTTATAGGTTCAAACGGAGTTTTATAAATACCATTATGTTATTATAAAAGATAATTTGGAAAGAGTTTTGGGTATAGAAGATATATTTAAAGAATTTTGTCTTATGCATGCAAATAAAAATCCTACTGGTATTACGTATGACTATTGTGATGGAGAAATTTACTAAAGACATTCTTTTTTACAAAACACTCTACATCCATTTGTATTCATTACTTTATTGATGAATTTGAAACTGTTAACTCTTTAGGTTCTAAAAAAGGAAAACAAAAACTTGGTGGTGTATATTACACTATTGGGAATTTGCATCCGCGTTATCGCTCAATAACATCTCAAATACACCTTGCCATGTTGTTCAAATCTAAAATAATTTTCATATTATTATGATGTATTAAAGCCACTGATTGATAAATTAATATCCCTAATGAGTTGTAATTATTAAGGGAAAAACTAAAAAATCTTCATGGTTGTATTGCCTCAGTATCTGCAGACATTTAGGGGCCCACTTTCTTGCTGGTTTTAGGTGTTGTTTTTTTTACTATAGTGAAAAAATATATATACTTCAAAAATGTTTTCTGTGATCAAATAAAACAAAAAGACTTATATCTGTATATATTTTTGTTTAAGATTAAATTACAATGAAGTCTTGATAACTCGAAACTCGGATAACTCGAACTTCCAATAAATTGAATAACTTTTGAGTTCCCCTTGATAAATTGTACACCCATTAGTTCAAACATTCGCCAATTCGAACCATTTTATTTGTTCCCATGGCTAATATTTCTCCAATATCTCGAACTTTTGAACAAAAATACAATAAAAACCACAATGAAGCCTTTGCACAACGTTCCCACTGGCTGGGTATAAACGTAGGTGAGTGCCAAAAAATTCTTATATAAATTAACTTTAGCGCATTAATTTAAATTAGTTTAGATTTTTTCGGCACTTTCGTATACAAAAAATCCAGGCGGTAGCAACGCTGCCCTTGCATTGAAAACGATAGTTTGATAGTTTAGTTTATTATATAAGTTATACTAACGTGAGTTGCAATATTAAAATAAAATTTGTTGTGTTGACATTTTCATATGGCTTTTGTCGCTGTAAAAGAAAAAAATGAACACAAAATCAATTAAAGAAAAGTACGCTACTTTAAAAGAAATTGATGAAGGATTTTTAAGTCTCAGGTTGCTGTGAAATATGGTATTCCAACATGGATTAAAAAAAGAAAAACTTTTCGATATAACTTTTGATAATTCGAATTGTTGTTACTTATCGCAAATAGTTCGTGTAGTAGAATGTCCCGATAACTCGAACATTTGCTAATTCGAACTATTTTGTAGGTCCCTTGGAAGTTCGAGATATTGGGAGTTCACTGTTTTTACTTAAAAGTATTTGATTTGGAATATGGTTTGGTATCTTTTTCCAAAAATGATATTAGTCAACAGTTATCAATATATTAGTCTTTCCACTTACCAGAAACATGTAAATTCACCCTAAAGCAACTTTGACAGCTAGTAGCTTATTGGTCAGAGAAATTGCAGCGCTATTTGTTATACGAGGTGGAGAGCGGTGCCAGATAAAATAATATATTTTTAAACTCATATTTTATAGTTTATTTTAGAATTAGTAGAGTAGTAAGTAGAACTAATCGCTTCTAGATGTTTTTTTCAATATCAACTTCATGATGTTTTTTTCAAATTTACAAAGAATGATTCAGCACCGTGTAAAGACAGCTACGTAGTTAAGAAACTGTCTAATTTCCACAGTTCAAAAGCATCATCTATTGCTTTGATTTTGTTTTCGCTTTTATTATTGTTCAATTTATTAAAAACTATTTTGTACAAAAATAGTTGTTTTAAGAAAATAAGTTTTAGAAATCACATATTTAATTTTTTTAATACATAAGGTACTGATATAGATTTATATTTAAAGATATTTGATTGATCATTATTTTTGTAAATTTAAAAAAATTATTAGTTAAAACTTAAACAAAACTTACGGTAAACCGTAAGTTTTGTTTAAGTTTTAACTAATACCTTACCTACCCTGTATCACAAGTTAGTTGTGCGACATGTTTTCAAAAAGCTCGCCTTTCTTAAATAAATTGTTGGATTGTTCTAAAATTTAAAAAAAAATTCTTCATGAAGGTTAGTGGCTTTGGCGCAGTATTTAAAGCGTTTGCATTATAAAAAAGAGATCCATGGTTCCAAGAGTGCTTAGGGTATATTTC